TAATTACTTTTATTGTCTTTGAAATATGGTTAAGTGTACTGCTGAATGTACTGACAAGCCTTTAAGCTAAAATACACTATAATGTAATTTCTATTGAAACTTGTATGTCATGTTTTGAAATATATTTGCAGTTACACATTTGTATTGAAGTTTCAACTTAGTACAAAGTACATTTAAAACTAACTTAAAATGAATTGAATGCAATTCAAATTATAATCAATAATCCTTAAATGTGCTTTAGTATTTTAGTTAACACATCAAAATAAGTTTACTTATAAAATGAGCTGAACTCAAAGATCTAAGACTTTTTCCATGTACACAAAAGGCCTATTTCTCTCAAATACTGTTCACAAATCTGTCTAAATCTGTGTTAGTGAGCACTTCTCCTTTGCCGGGATAATCCATCCACCTCACAGGTGTGGCATATCAAGATGCTGATTAGACAGCATGATTATTGCACAGGTGTGCCTTAGGCTGTGTTTTGTAAACTATAGTACATTTTTCAGGATTGTGAAAGTTGGAAGAGCAAAATTTATTTGAAAGAAAGTAAATGTCTTTACTGTCATTTTTGATCAATTTTATGTGTCCTTGCTGAAAGTAGTAGGACTTACACTACACTTACACATTTTTAAAAAATGTCTTTGAAAGAAGTCTCTTATGCTCACTGCATTTATTTGACAAAAAATACAGTAAAAACAGTATTATTAAATTATATTATGTTATAACAGTGTATTATAATTTAAAATAAAACAATAAATTAATGATATTATACGTATTATAAAAATGTATTACAATTTAAAATAACTGCTTTCCAAGTCTAAAATATATGGCAAAGCGTGTAAATCATAGTTTCTACAAAAACATTAAACAGCATAAACTGTTTTCAGCTTTGATAAGAATAAAAACTATTTTTAATAATTGAGAACCAATAATAATGGACAATAACGGAGCAGCAAATCAGCATATTAGAATGATTTCTGAAGATCATGTGACACTGAAGACTGGCGTAATGATGCTGAAAATACAGCTTTGCATCACAGAAATAAATTACATTTTTTAAATATATTAAAATAGAAAACAGTCCCTTTAAATGATAATACTATTTCACAATATTACTGCAAATTTTGACCAAATAAATGTAGCCTTGGTGAGCGTAGGAGATTTCTTTCAAAATCATTGGCTCCATCTAGTGTTGTAAAAGTGATATTTTGACCTACATTGGCAAATTATGAGACAGCAAGCATGTTTTATGGAAAATACTTAAGTTCCTCTTCAGGCTAAATGTCATGTGCTGTAGGTGGATAGCAATCAAACAATCAGTTTCATCATGTTACATTTGTTTGTGAGAATCCAAGGCAGGTTTATTTAAATAGCATTGGTCTGCAGCAATCTTTAGGTATATGTGTATTCAAATGAAAGGCAGTCTGATTATTAGGGTTGCTGAACTTACCGTGTAGATGTACTGTTGTGACATGACCCAAATTTACCACGTGCAACAGAGAAGGCTGGTACTTGAATCATTTGTTTTGACAATAACTGCACACAAAATATAAAGACCACAAAACTACTGTCATTAAAGTAGTAGATTATTCAGGTACAAATAAATTAGCATACATGTAACTGCAGCTCAATGTGTCCATGATGACATCATTAAACGTCCGGCACATTGAGCACAATGTTAATGAAATGCCATTCAATACTCCATTTTACAATAGATTAATATAACTTAAAGGGGTCATATGATGCTGCTAAAAATAACATTATTTTGTGTATTTGGTGTAATGAAATGTGTTTATGCGGTTTAAGGTTAAAAAAACACATTATTTTCCACATACTGTACATTATTGTTGCTCCTCTATGCCCCGCCTTTCTGAAATGCATAAATTTTTACAAAGCTCATCGGTCTGAAAAGCGAGGTGTGCTCTGATTGGACAGCTATCCAGTGTGTTGTGATTGGCCGAATACCTCAACCGTGTGACGGAAATGTTACGCCCCTCACCATATTGTGATGATGCCCTGTCCGGCCGGAGCGACGAGACAAAAACAATAAAACCCATTATAAACGAGTCATTTGTTGCATCCTGTGAGGACATAATTACTGATTATAATGACTTATGCTGTCTTTTTATGTGTTGTGTTGCATCGCGCCGTATAAACATAAAACCATGTATGTATTTGTTATCGGAGAAATGACAAACAACAAGATCTTCCCACATAGTGATGTAGATATGTGAGGGTGTGTTAGAACGAGCCGTTTTAGGTAGGCGTGGCTGACTCTTAACTTTTATAAAGAATATCTCTTTGGATTTGAGACTTTAGTCTTTGCAACTTTACAGATCTTCTTTATGCACCAAGAGCTTGTAACACTCCAAAGAGAAAGGAAAAATTGAAATCGCATCATATGACCCCTTTAAAGATACATATTATTGCATTAATAGACCTTTTAACCAGGGTTTTTTTTACCCCAGTGACAGCTGTACTGTCATTTTTTTCTGAGTGTAGATTTACTTTAATTATTGATACAGTTTTGATTTGATGAAAGAAATAGTTTTATGCAAACCTACATATCAGAATTGAGGCTCAATAAAGTCTAAGCATGTTATGCAATAAAATGCATTTGGATCAGTATTGCCCACATATATCAAAATATGTGTATATGTGAGTATGAATACACATACCTTTCTTGATAACTGGAGTAATGATGCTGAAAATTCAGCTTTAAGTCACAGGAATAAATTACATTTTAAAATATATTTCAATATTAAACCGTTTTTTTTTTAATTGTAATAATAATATTTCATGAATATGTATTTTACTGTATCTTTTAATATAATTAAAATGTACCTGCCCTAAACTTTTAAGCAGTTATGTATTTAAATAAACCAAACAAAACCACAGGTTGTTTTCCTAGCCCAGAGAGGAATGCTATTAATGGCAAAATAAATAACATATTTAAATATAATCCTCATGTCTGCTTTTTTTTGCCAAATCCATTACTAGGGATAATCTTACAATTATATTGGCCTTTCAGAGGATCAGCCGGCTTCAAAACTGATATCAGCTCTCAGCAGCTGTTGTGGTGATTTGTTATGAATATGACAAGTGTTGAAATAAATTAGGCAAGTATGTTGATCTCATGTACATGTGTGCTATAGAAATAGCACCATCAGTCAGAAATCAGTGGATGCTGTGTACTCTCATTTTTACTTAAAGCTTAAAGTATTAATTTTTATGATAATGCAGAACGTACAACAAGAACACAAGAAAGATGCCCAAATCACTTGTATACAGACAGCAGGGTGTGATATTAAGCATGTCTGGCTTCCAGCATGATGTTAGTGATGCTGACAAACACATTTTTAACGTGTCAGCCTTCACTTTAACTTACAATAAAATCTATCCAACAGCAGAGAACAGGTGAGACCTAAAAAAAACCTCACAGGCTGAATATTCGGTGTGCAATGTGCATGATATCTTTGATATCATAGTTAATCTCAATCTGTTCATCCACCCTTCACTCTTTATCTGGAGGTACAATCACGTTGTGCTCAGACATGGTCAACATCCGTGTTGAGGAAAGTTACTTTTAAAAGTAATGCATTATAATATTGTGTTATAACTACTTGCGTTACTTTTAATGGAAAGTAATGCGTTACGTTACTTTTACTTGTTTGTTTTTAATATAAAAAAAGTTATATTTTTGGCTAATGTGAAAGCCCTTTCACACATTTCACGCCTTTCACAAAGCGAAATGAATACACCTCAGGCTGATGGAAATGTAAATTCACGTCTGTACAGTACACATTTCTGCTGTGCTGCCATTCTGGATTGTTTGAAGAATAGGACGCAGAAGAAGAAAGTTCAACACTCACACAAATGTGATATTTAACATTCCTTTAACAGTCATTTTTTCTTATTTGTATGATTGAATTGTTGGATCATATATATATATATATAAATCTTCAAAGATATTTTCTTCTAAATGAAAAAGTAATGCGTTACTTTACTAGTTATTTAACTTGCATTACTTGTGATGCTTTACCACCTGGTCAACATATATTTATACGTATATTACTAGTGGGTGAATTGAGAAAAATGACTGGTCAAACATTTCTTGAGGTCTGGAGGTGTTGTTTCCCTACTTGGAGATAAGAAAGCTACCTTTCAAAAGTTTGGGGTCACTAGGCCTATATGTTTTTTGTTTCATGTTTTTGAGAGAAGTCTCTTCTGCTCACCAAGACTCCATTTATTGAATCAAAAATACAGTAATATTGTGAAATATTATTACAGTTTAAAGTAACTTTTTTCTATTTGAATATATTTTAAAGTGTAATTTATTTCTGTGACGCAAAGCTGAATTTTCAGCATCATTAGGCTACTCCAGTCTTCAGTGTCACATGATCCTTCAGAAATCATTCTAATATGATGATTTGATGATCTTTGTCACTCTTGATCAATTTAATGCAGCCTTGTTGAATAAAAGTATTCATTTCTTTAAAACAAAAAAAAACATGTTGCTACAAGTACATTAACAGATAGCAAACATTCATTTGAAGACTCGTATTTATTTAGAAAGCTACCTTTCAAAAGTTTGGGGTCACTAGGCCTATATGTTTTTTGTTTCATGTTTTTGAGAGAAGTCTCTTCTGCTCACCAAGACTCCATTTATTGAATCAAAAATACAGTAATATTGTGAAATATTATTACAGTTTAAAGTAACTTTTTTCTATTTGAATATATTTTAAAGTGTAATTTATTTCTGTGACGCAAAGCTGAATTTTCAGCATCATTAGGCTACTCCAGTCTTCAGTGTCACATGATCCTTCAGAAATCATTCTAATATGATGATTTGATGATCTTTGTCACTCTTGATCAATTTAATGCAGCCTTGTTGAATAAAAGTATTAATTTCTTTAAAACAAAAAAAAAACATGTTGCTACAAGTACATTAACAGATAGCAAACATTCATTTGAAGACTCGTATTTATTTCTTTCTATCCCAGACACATTAGGTAATATCCAACATCTTCGGTGGAAACTAATGTTGATTTATCTTTCATTTTACATTTATATTCCCCTCAAAGGGAAATTGCTTTTTTATCATGTTTAATATTGAGCATATTGTCTTGAAGTCTTTACAAAATGCTCACACAACACACATACAAATACCGCCTTAATTAAATATATACATTCTCTTTTACTATCTTGCCATATTTACAAGTCACCCCGATGAGCATCCATTCAGTGTCGCTGGCTTTTTCAAGTCCATTACGCACGAAAACATATAAAAATAAAGCTGCCTCTTCTTCTTATTAACAGTCGGATGAGTTTGTGTGGCATGGTGTTAGGAAGCAGAGTGTGGTTTTCGGTTGCGTTTCGCACGTCGGGTCGGTGGAAAGCTGATGAACTCAAAGTGTTTGGGTTGGTCTGAGTTTGGGAAGGGGAGTGGTCCTTTGTGGAGGCGCTTGATGAAGTGAACTTCCCGCTGGTTCTCCCTGGTTTTGGAGGCCTTGATGGGCCGACCCTTTCTGCTGAAGGCCACGTACCAGCCCTCATATTTAGCGTTCTGGAAAGCAGTGTAGTTGTTCTCCAGGACGATCTCTGTGAAGATGCAGTCCCTTCCTCTGCCATTAGGCTGCGAGAAACAGAGAAGAAGACTCATGTTATTTCACTGAACTTTAAACTCAAAACAGGTGAATAACTGTGAAATTAAGGAGTTACTAAATTACTCTTTATTAATGATCAATTACTTTAGTAATACATTTAATGTACATTACATATAATTCTGTAATTACTTATAAACAACGCTTCCCCCCCCCCCCACACTGAAAACAAGTTTACAATGTATCATCTGAATCTGTCCATTGCATTCTGACTTTTTCCTGAACAATTGATTTTCATATAAAGGATATATCATTTTGTATATTTTTATTTTTGGATATAATTTCTTATTTTTTGACCTGTTATTGCTGTCTTTTAAAATATTTATCAAATCAATTAAGTAACAAAGCCGGGGTTTATTTTATGTTTTACTAATCTTACAAAAGTCATTATTACATTATTCCACATACATAATATATTGTAAAAGAATATACTTAAGTGTGAATTGAATGTAATGTTTTCAGACACTTTATTGCATGTTATTTGCAATTAAATGAAAATGTATATTAAATGTAATTAGTTGAAATAAGAGTGCTATTTTGACCCACTTAAGTAGGACTTAAATACATCTTTATGTAATTTCATAATTACTTCTAATGTACTTCTACTGTGTTAAATTGTACTGCCGAATGCACTGACAAGCATGTATGATCAACTAAAATATACTTTTATGCCATTTCTGTTAAAACGTGTCATTTATTTATATTTAACATATTGTACATTTGTAATGATGAAGTTGCAATTTACACTGTAAAAAAATGGCACAATGCACTGTATTAATATGAAACAATTTTCCGTATTTATTTTTTTACAGGTGTTTTACCTGTCGGAATAGAAAACCTTTTCGTTTTGTAGATGCCAGCAAGAGCACTGATCTAACTCTAGTCTAGGCCTATGCGATGGAAAAGGATTTAGTTCTAATCTAGAGCAGTGGTTCTCAAATAGGGGCCCGCTAGAGGGCCTCAGCAAACTTAAAAGGAGCCGCAAATGATTTAAATTGATTTTAAACAAGTTCCATTAAGTAGCTAATCGATGTTAATTAGAATGTTATAATCAATCAACATGTAAACTGACTTCCTGTCCTATTTTAATCTGTCCAATCAACAAATATTATTGTATTAATGAAGAACATACCGTTTTTTTTTAATAAACATTAATCGATTTTGAAGCTTTGACATGTTTTTTTTTTTTTTTTAGAATTTAGTCAGTTTAATCTCATGGTCAGTTTTTGGCTCATGGGCAAGCCCAGACGCAACTTTATTTCTGCACAAATTTAGTTTTGGAAGGAGAAATCTGCTAAATGGATTTTATGATGGCAAAATGTGCTAAACTGATCTGAGAGTACTGTACTCTCATTGGTAGCTAAATGCACAATCAAAATAGCCCAAATATTGGCTAAATAAATAAAACAACATGCAAAAAGCAGAGAAAACATTATTATTGACAAGCACTCCAATGGACCTTTTCATGCTTTCAGGGGAAGCCATCATAATCTGAGAAAAAATTGGTATAGGAATCATTTTCACTCAGAAATATAAAGAAACAGCAAGTATCATATTGCATTAAACGTAATTGTGAAGTAGAATGACTAAAATAGTATTTTCTTATTAAACACACTCCAATAATCTTAATTTTCGACTACAAAAATTAATTTATTTTTTACAGTTTAGATGGGTAATTTTATAGTGGTGAACAGAAAATACAGCCAAAATATTTTTTGCACACCCATTTGACACAATAGCAAAATGAAAAATCCATTATGGTGCTTCTATGACTTTCCAAAGGAGGAAAAATATCAATATATTGATCACATAGTCAGATAAGAGAAAGAAGTCAAATCTGCATCACTCTCACAGTGGTATTAGAAACACTCGCATAGCAGCTTTAACTGTTAAATATTTTATAATTTAACTATGTTATATGTGTGTGTGTGTGTGTGTGAAACTTTTAGATTTACAATGTTAATAACTATGAAATAATAACTCTGCATCATCACAGTCTGTAAAAAGGGTCCATTCAGCCAAAATCTGCTTTCAGTGAAATTTTGTGGGTACGGGTTCCATGTGGACCTGCTTAAGGGTTATAATATTTAAAGCAATGTCCTGGAAAACTTCTCTGCTGCCCTCATAGAGTTATGAGAAACAATGTGAATTCCTCACCTATGATATTAAGAGACCATGTACAGTGGCGGGAAATCAAAGGAAGAGAGATGTTTATTAAACTGTGTTCTGACCCTCAGAACTGTTTGACATACTGTACATTTAAACCGTCACACCCTGACAGACACATAGAGACAAAGCATCTTTTGCGAAAGCTTGAACTGAAGACCCACAGAGGCCATTATGGTGCTTCTATGACTTTCCAAAGGAGGAAAAATATCAATATATTGATCACATAGTCAGATAAGAGAAAGATGTCAAATTTGCATCACTCTCACAGTGGTATTAGAAACACTCGCATAGCAGCTTTAACTGTTAAATATTTTATAATTTAACTATGTTATATGTGTGTGTGTGTGTGTGTGAAACTTTTAGATTTACAATGTTAATAACTATGAAATAATAACTCTGCATCATCACAGTCTGTAAAAAGGGTCCATTCAGCCAAAATCTGCTTTCAGTGAAATTTTGTGGGTACGGGTTCCATGTGGACCTGCTTAAGGGTTATAATATTTAAAGCAATGTCCTGGAAAACTTCTCTGCTGCCCTCATAGAGTTATGAGAAACAATGTGAATTCCTCACCTATGATATTAAGAGACCATGTACAGTGGCGGGAAATCAAAGGAAGAGAGATGTTTATTAAACTGTGTTCTGACCCTCAGAACTGTTTGACATACTGTACATTTAAACCGTCACACCCTGACAGACACATAGAGACAAAGCAGCTTTTGCGAAAGCTTGAACTGAAGACCCACAGAGGCTCTGTATGTATGTGTGTGTGTGTGTGTGTGTGTGTGAATATTTAAAGCAATGTCCTGGAAAACTTCTCTGCTGCCCTCATAGAGTTATGAGAAACAATGTGAATTCCTCACCTATGATATTAAGAGACCATGTACAGTGGCGGGAAATCAAAGGAAGAGAGATGTTTATTAAACTGTGTTCTGACCCTCAGAACTGTTTGACATACTGTACATTTAAACCCTCACACCCTGCCCGACACATAGAGACAAAGCAGCTTTTGCGAAAGCTTGAACTGAAGACCCACAGAGGCTCTGTATGTATGTGTGTGTGTGTGTGTGTGTGTGTATGTGTGTGTGTGTGTGTGTGTGTGAACGCCAAGCATCAGAGGGCTTAAGCAGTGGATCTTCTCACCAGACCGGAATTCCGTCGGCCCCAGCAGGATGCCAAGGGTGTCGGCCATGGTTTTTTAGGATCGGGCGGCTCAGAGCAAGAGGGATGTGATGTGTCCTAATGAAACACCATACGTCTCGCACCCCCCATGTCCCTCTCCCACTTTTTTTCCCTCCCTTGCTTCACCCCCTTCAGTTTACGAAGCGGCGGTGAGGTCTGTGGCCCTGAAACCTGATCTTATTTATTCACATCTCGAGCTTTGCTGGTGCTACCTTAGCGATGGAAATAAACCAACACAGAGTCTCGATCAGACACCTAGCAACAGAAACCTAGGTAGCACTTCCCCCAACCATAGCCCCGGCCCAGAATATACCCACGGGTATCCCGTTAAATAAAGACTGGGAGATGCTGTAAAAAAACACAGATGACAAGTGGACATGGGATCTTGTTTGGGTTCAGAGCTTCAATGTCAAAGTGTTAACATGTGATGACAGCGCACAGACGTGTTGAGCTATTCATTTCTACCACAGTCGTGTCCCGAATAGCCCAGGTCCAACATAAGCAACTCTAAAACTAACTAGTTATAAAACATAACACATTAATCTATTTATTGAGTGATTGCTAACAACGCATATGTTGTGAGCCACATGTTGTTTGGTCATCCTTGTATTCTTAGAGCATGCAGAGCAGTCACTTCTTTTAGTGTACACGATGATGCATCTCAGAATGACAATTTGGTCATTATTTATTCATATTAATTTTATTCTAAATTCTTTGTTCCGCGGAAAACGTAATGAGGCGTTTTGAAGATTCTTAATGAAGATCTTTTCCATAAAAAAAAAGAACAACACAAGACATCATTGACATTGGTTCTTGCATTGGTGTTTACAAAGAAAAATATTTTAAAATTCATGTTTAAAACACACATGCAAAGTTCTTCGAAACATATTTTTTTGTATTCATGAAATCATGTTAGTTTTCAAAAACAATGATACCACTTTCAAAAAGCGCGGTGATATGTGGTGCAACCGTCTTTGAGACTTTTATGAATACATTTTAATCAATACTTTCCAGGTTTTAAAATGTATTTTTCAAGGAAAAAGTATAGTTTTTTTAAAATGATAATGAATTATTAATTCAGAAATATCATTACGATTTTGAGAGTTGCACCACATGACATAACGTAACCTTGACTTGTCATAAAATGGTCAAATTTCCTGATATTTTAAGAGACTTAGGGCCCGTTCACACCAAGGACGATAACTATAAAGATAGCGATAAAGATATAGTTCTAAAAATCGTTCTCAATATTAGCAGAGTTCACACCACAACTATAACAACTATAACGATAAAGACAAAGATAAATGATATCGTTGGAATCACTTTCAAAATGATTTTTCTCCAGCTGATGAACGATAAAAAATTGACAGCCAATCAGAATCCATCCTGCTGTAACAAGCTCGAGAATTTAAAGCGGCAGATGCATGTGCACTTAGAATAAATATACGACATCGTTCGCTGGTGTGGACGCTAATATCGTTATCTTTATAGCTATCTTTATAGTTATCGTTCTTAGTGCGAACGGGGCTTTATTTATAGATATGTATAGATGACAACTTCAGACATGTCTTGGAACGGTCGATGTGTCGTCACTCAGTAAAAATCTCAGTAAAAAAAAAGTTCTCCAAGATGCCACAACATTGTGCAGCCTCTGGTTGTAAAAACTGAACCACTGATGTCACATGGACTATTTTATCGATGTCCTTACTACCTTTCTGGGCCTTGAACGGGTCAGTTTCGTTGCTGTCTATGCAGGGTCAGAAAGCTCTTGGATTTCATCAAAAAATCTTAA